GTCTATAGAATAACTGTTTTAGCCCTCCATTCTATGGAAGAACTATTGCAAACCTTTTGTCCCTAGACGTTCTGTGAAGAGAATTCTATCACCACAAGGGCTGCAGTAGGTATTCGTTCGAGTAGAGTAGTCGAATTTATTCAGTAAAAGTTCGTCTGCCTATAGGAGAGTTATGGAAGGTCTGCATTCAACCGAAAAGCTGTTGTAGGCCTTCTATATTTTGAAGAACTGTCGAGGGTCTTAAGAGCTCTTATCTGGAGAAGAACTGTCATTTGTTTTCTGTCTATTGAAATTTTGTAAAAGGTAGGTTTTTTATAGAAGACCTATAATAGGTCATATGCCTAAACAAGAAGAGTTGCAGCAAGTCTTTTCCGTGTAGCAGAACATATATAAAATGTACAGGATATCCTTTTAAACCTCCTATCACAGGAAGAGCATTTTTATATTTATTCTATAGAAGATCTGTGAAAGGTGTTTTGTTAATAGACGTGAAAGTTATTATAACTACACAAGGGCTGCAGTAGGATTTCTTTCGACCAGAACAGTAAAATTTCTTCAGCAAAAACTGTTCGGCGTATAGTCGAGTTATAGAAGGTCTGTATTCAACAGAAGATATGCCGCAGTCCTCCTATAAGATCAGTGAAATATATTATGTTATAGAAGATGTCCTGAGAGTTGTAGAAAATTTAGTAAAAAACGTTTCTATAGAAGAACTGTTTCAGGAAGGTCTACTTGAAGTTTTTGGTCTATAGAAGGCTATTCTATGTACACAAGAGCTGCAGTAGATGTTCTTTGGACCAGAGTGGTCGATTTTTCAGCAAAAATTCTTCTGGCTATAGGAGAAGATATGCTGCACTCCTTCTGTCTTTGGAAGAACTGTCGAGGATTTTAAGATCTTCTATCTCGGAAGGAGCTGTTGTTGGTTTTCTGTGTATAGAAGTTTTGTGAAATGTCTTTTGTTTATAGAAGATCTATCATAGGTCCCATACCTATAAAGGAGTATAGATGCATATAAATTATGTAACTGTAACTGATCCTTAATCTGTAGCAGATCTGAGGAATTTAGTTTGTAAGGCCTTCTGCCTTCAGAAGAGTTCTTAATGGAAAAATTCGTGCAAATTGGTGCACCAGTTACAGTTATCTAAATCTGATCCGATTTTTACGAAACTTTGCACAAATCATTCTAGACTTAATTCAGTAGGCTATGCCAAATTTCGTGCAAATCGAAAGATATATAGAAACTTTGGTACACCATTTACCTTAAATCGGACAAAAATATATATGGGAGCTATATCTAAATCTGAGCCGATTTTTCCCAATTTCAACAGGGTTCGTTCTTGGGCCAAACAAATGAGTTGTGCCAAATTTCATCCAATTCGGATCATAAACGCGACCTGGACTTTGTTTACAATTTAACATGGACAGACGGACGGACGGACATGCATAAATCGACTCAGAAAGTGATTCTATGCATATTCTCAAAAGGATCCATGGGTCTATCTCGATTATTTTTGTCTGTTACAAACATGTGCACAAAGACATAATACCCTGTACCACAGTGTGGTGAAGGGTATAAAAATAGGACTAGGAATTTTATCTGTAGAAGAGGTGGAGAAAAGGTTATTTTGTCTATATGTGTATGGACTTCTGTGTAGACAGGACATCTGTCTATTGGTTCCTTTAACAGTTGGCATTTATGCAAGGGGAAATCTTTCTAGTGGAAATCTTATCTACTATCACTTTATTCCTATTAAAAACCTCTGGGCGTTATTCTGCTTTTATCTCCAAAAAAATATGTCCCACTTCGTGATAAAATGAAATTACATTATGCAAGTTCTAGCAGAGCCCAAGAATTTCCCTTCAATAAAATAAATAATTAATTCAGTAACACACAAAACCTTTGTTTGTTTTTTTTTTGAATATTGGTTTTGTTTTCTGTTTTTTTTTTTTGGGAAAATGTCATTCCTTTTGAACCGAACAATGCCATTTAATGGGAATTCAATTGAAAAATTGTTGTTTGTGGTCAAATGAAGCTTTTAATTTAATGCATGTTTCATCTAATTCAATAAAGATTCCAATTTCCAGTCGTTAACAATGAATGGGAGAAACGATGTCTCATTCTGGTGTTGTAACATAGGTCAATATGCCAACACACACACAGATATCCCTCCACATATGCTACATATATATGTGTTTGTGTGTGTATGTATGTTCGAGCACTTGAATTACATTTTATACACATTGTATGTGACGACAGTGAAGTAGATTCAATATCCTTTACTCCTTATACACAAGTATCATTTCCTTGTGTCCAAGTGCCCAATGAGAATAGTTGCCAATAATGTTGAGCAGTCCACAAAAATAAAAAAGCAAAGAAGAGATTGTGACAAAAACAAAAATGGGTGGGAAGAAGAGAATCAACAGTAAAAGCATTTCCAAAAATGCCTTAACTATTGGGGGATTTAATATGGTGTTGGAGTGAAGGGGAAAGGGGGTGCTGGGGGTTTGATAAAAGTTAATGTCGCAAAAGATTTAAATTGTAACTTAATTATTGAGAAAAAATCTTGGTATGGCATTCTGGCAAACATATTGCTGTACAGAAGGATACAATGGAATATTTTATTGGACAGATGTATAATGAATTTTGTGGAAAAAATTGGTAACAATTGTGGGGCTACAGAATGCATTTTTTCTCTAGAAAATGGAGATGGATTTCAAATTATAGCAGTAGAGAAAAACTAGGGAAGCACTTCTGATTTTAAAAATGTTGTAGAGGGTCTTTTTTCTATAGAAGGGTTATAGGTCTTATAACCTCGGCCTATAATATAGGCCTCGTTTTAATTGAACGGCTGTGTACCAAAGAGTTGTGGCTGATCTACGGAGCTGTGGAAGAGCTTATGGCTTTAGATTAGCCCTGTTCAACCATGGGAACTGGTGATTTTGTTTACATGTATGCGTTCTCATTTGTTCTCTGAGAATTTTTTCGTTGCACACCTCTACTTTGGATGAACCGTCTATGAAAACGTTGATTGATCTTCTGTTTAAAAGAGAGCTATATGTGTGCTTATATGTATAAAATGACTGTAAAAGCTCATCTGCCTTCAGAACAGTTGTAAAAGCTCTTATTTCTATAAAAGAGCTGTAAAAGCTCTACAGTGTACGGAAGTGACTTAACATATTTTATGTTAATAGAAGAGTTGTAGAATCCCATATGTTTGCTGAAGAGCTGTAGAAACTCTTGTGTATGTAGAAGAGTTGCAAAAGCTTCTATGTGTATGGAACATGTTTTTCTGCCATAGAAAAGTTGTTGAAGCTCTTCTAAATATAGAATATTTCTAGAAGATCTTCTGAATATAGAAGAGCTGTACAGTCTATGGTAGAGCCACAACATATTTTCTCTCAATGGGAGATGTGTAAAAGTTCTTCTGTTTATAGAAAAGCTGTAGAAGGCAGTTTTGCAATAGAAAAACTGTAAAAAACTATTCTGTCCATAAATAAGCTGTAAAATGTATCCTGCTTTTAAAAAGCTGAAAAAGTTTTACTGTCTGTAGAAGGGCTGTATAAGAACTAGATATATAGAAAAGCTGTAAAAGCTTATATGTCTGTAGTAGAGCTATAAAACGAGTGTTTGTCTGTATAAGAGCAGTATAAGATCTTATATTTAAAGAAGAGATGTAAAAGGTTATCTGTCTATGGAAGATCTGTATAAGATATTTTATTTATAGAAGAGCTGTAAAAGCATATATGTCTGAAGAAGATCTCTATAAGATATTCTATTTATAAAAGAGCTTATCTGACTGTAGAAAAGCTGTAAAAGGTTTTCTGACTGTAGGAAAGCTGTAAAAGCTTTTCTGTCTATATAAGAGCTGTGGAACATTATATGTCTGTAGAAGAGCTGTATAAGATCTTCTATTTATAGGAGAGCTGAATAAGCCCTTCTTTCAATAGAAGATCTGTACAACTTTTTCTACCTATAGAAGATCTGTAAAAGTTCTCCTATCTATAAAAGATTGTTTGTCTGTATAAGAGCTGTATAAGATCTTATATATAATGAAGAGATGTAAAAGCTTATCTGTCTATAAAAGATCTGTATAAGATATTTTATTTATAGAAGAGCTGTGAAAGCTTATATGGCTGTAGAAGAGCTGTATAAGATATTCTATTTATAACAGAGCTGTAAAAGCTTATCTGACTGTAGAAAAGCTGTAAAAGCTTTTCTGACTGTAGGAAAGCTGTAAAAGCTTTTCTGTCTATAGAAGAGCTGTTAAAGATTATATGTCTGTAGAAGAGCTGTAAAACTTTTTCTATCTATAGAAGATCTGTTAAAGTTTTCCTATCTATAAAAGATTGGTAAAATCTCTTTTCTCTATAGAATATCTGTAAAAGCTCTTTTATCTATAGAAGATCTGTCATCTGTCGATAGGAGAGAACAGACTAGCTGCTAAGGCACTTAAAAAAAAGCTTCTTCTCTCCTTTGAGAGAGATACGGTATTCCTTCTATAAAGGAGTTATGCCCCAGAAGTTATTCCGAAGAAATTTTTTTTAAGATGGATTAGCAGAAGATTTTCTTTCGAGTGTAGAATACCTGTATGGGTTATTTTATCTATAGAATACCAGTATAAGGTCTTCTGTCTGTAAATGAGCTGAAGAAGGTCATATGTTTATAGACGAGCCTTCCAGCTATAGGTAAGAGATATTCGATGTATAGAACTGGTTTGTAAAGGGAATGTTTATAAAGGAGCTTTAGAAGGCTTTTGTATACGGAAAGGTATACCCTAGAAGTTATTTTGAATAAGCTCTTTAATAAAGGGAATAGCGGATGAAGCTCTTTCGAGTATAGAAGATTTGTATGTTTTTTTTTTGTCTAGGCGAGCTATATAAGGCCTTCCTGCTGTAGGAGAGCTTTAAGAGATATTTTATGTATAAAATAGGTTATTCTGTTTGTAAAGTGGCTGTATAAATAAGAAAATCGCTGTCTGCAGAAATTCTAAACTTTTTACAAATATCCTCCAGATTTCCAAAATTCCCACTTACCTTTCCATTGGTCACCAACATTGCATTGGCCGATGTCAGCTTAATGGTACGGGCCTTTTTCCAATTACTATCTGTCGGTTGGGTATACAACAGCTTCCCCTCCATTACAAAACGCACCTCATCATGATTCCATTCCAGGACGTCAATGGCCATTTTCCTCAACTTGATATTAATCATATCAATTTCACAGGATGCCCGGCGATTGGGACTGGAGGAGGAAATGCGACGCCATAGCTTCGTGGGGACATCTTTGGCCTCTTGATTAATGTGATTTAAATGCAATTCGATTTTTTCCTGAGCCTGTTTAAGGAGCTCACGACCCTCCAGATGGGCAGGTGTTACCTTATAAAGTCTAGCCAAGAGCAAGGGGTATTTGGTGACACGTTGAACGGGTACCTATAAAACAAAAGAGGATTAAATAACCGATTTGAGAAAATTCAAGACTTCACCCTACCATCAAAAATGAATTCAAATTCATTCGTCGCAGTACAGCATTTTCCATTTGTGACACTTTCAGAAAGATGCGCAACAGCTCCTTATCCTTTTCCAAGTTGGCCAACAGCAGACTGGCACCCGCCTGGCGTACACAATAGCTTTCAAAGGCATGCAACATTTGCGTAGATTCCAGGAATATTTTACCAATATTCACCGTAAGCAGATCGTCATCACCCTGTTCCAGGGCTATATCGAGGGCGTCACGCATACGCTCGGCCAGTGCCTGATTATTCTCGAGCAGTTCTTCGGTATTTAAGAAGATTGCGGAGAGTTGCTCCTGCGTTAGTAGACCGGCCACCAGCATCGGGTGGCAGAACTCCTCCAGGATTATTTGCAGATCACGGCCATATTTCTCTTCGGTTTCCACAATTTCCGTTAAGATTTCCTTGCGTTCGACACGTTTCTTGCCACATTTGCGACATACGAGCGGGGCGAAGATGATGCCATCCTCACCCAGTTGAGTTTCCACGGGCCCATCACAGTCTTCGCACAAATGCAAGGGGCTACTGCGTTGCTGGGGTGAGTGGGTTGAGGAGGTGGTGGAAGAAAACGACGAGGTAATTGAGGACGGATTTAAAAATTTGCTACGTGATGTTTTACTAGTTTCCGAACCCACACCCGAGTCGTTACGTTCAATATCGCTTGAGGTGTGTTTGTGGCGTAAAAGATTGAAGGTGGTGGCTGCATTGGTGGGTGGTGACAATGAACACTGGTTGTCCTCTGAGGAATCACTTAGTATCGAGGAACGAGAACTAATGGTGTCCAAACGTTTGAGTTTATTTAATTTGCCCAAGTCGCTGAGAGTATCGGAGGATTCTTCTTCAATGATGATGGGATTGGAACAGTTGAGGGGAAAATCAAATGCCTCCTCCTTGACCACACCACGTTCCTTGGCATCGACCAAATATGAGAGTATGTCATATTTAGAGGCTCCTTCAAATATGGATCGGGCCGATTTCTTCTCCAACTCGGGGTCATTTAGAGGTGGAGCGGTCAACGGTAAAGGTGGCGGAACATCGGAAATTTCTTCATAAATTGGATCACAATTGTGGCGTATTGATTCGTACTGATGATCATCGGGTATCAAATCTTCGGTGTTGGTGGACAACTCGATTTCCTGTAGCGTGGCATCGACAAGCATTTGATAGAATTTGGATTTAGTTTCGGGTGAGGCAATGTCATCATCCAGCTGGGAATTAATTTCGCTGGAACAACTCTGATAGCAATCCGATTCGTTGGCCTCAAAATCGAATAGCTCATAATTATGGGCGGAGGCAAAGCTATTGGCCGAGCTGATGCTACCACGATTCGAGAGACGTTCTTCATCTTTGGTTACAAGGGGAACAGTGAGGAGATTGTTATTGATGGGTGTGGTAGCCTTGGATTGTTGCCTCTCTTCGCGTAGACGTTTGAGCGAGAGGTCAATTAGCCGATTCATGTCATCATTGTCTTTGGTACCGCTCATATCCAAGGAACTGCGTGACTCCTGTAGACGTTTCAACGAGTTCTCGATCAGTTCACAAACGATGTCATTTTCCAGACCCTCAGCCACTTGGTTGAGCATGGGATCTTCTAGGAGTTTACCTATAAAGGAGTTGGCATCAAAGCCGGAAGTGGTGGTGTTGGGAGATCTTGAATTATTGTTGGATTTTTTAGGCATTTCTAGGGGCATGTCTTGGAGACCAACTTTCATTTTCTTGGAACGTTTTAAATCTTTTTGGGTATCGCCTTCACGTAACTTGCAAATGTGGGGTACCAAGTTGCGTTTCACAGCCTCTACAGGGTTACGTAGGATTTTCAAAAGTTCTGCCTCGTGAGGTAGCCATTCAGTTTCCTCAGCTGCTGATTTAAGCAAAGATTCGCTTTCCTCTACCTCCTCTTCAACGGGTGATGGTGAAGATTCCATGTGACTTGAGGCCGAGGATGAGGGCGATTGGAAAGAAGATGTCGAGGTGGTGGAGGAAGACATGAACTTCTCTTTATCATAATCTAAACGTATAAGGGTTTTACCACGCTTTGTCGTACAGCCGGTCGAAGAGGAAGCCGAACTACAACTGCTAGTCATTGAACTAGTGGAATTGGATGAGGTCGACGAGGCCGAACGTTGCAAATTAATATCTACCGTGCCGCGTATGGGTATTATGGCCCTGGTACTGGTCGAGGCCGATGACAATTTGGCCTGTTTCTTGAGCAGATTGTTCAATTGATTGTGTTGTTGTATTAGTTCATCTTCACTGCTCCGGGGACTGCTTACATTTATGGTTACCGTATTGAAGGTATTCAACATTTGAACGCCAACGTCCACCTCTTTGTTTGAGTCATCATTGACCACCACCGATGATTGGTAAAGCGGTGTGGAGGCATCATCACAGCTCAGATTCATGGTACTGTAGCAATCATCACCGGTAATTAGAATGGAGGTCTTCTTTTGGCCATATTCGCCAAAATCACTAAGGGTCGATAAATCGGTGACACTGTAATGCGAAGATGTGGAAATGTTGTGCGGCGGAGTATTGGGAGTTTTGGGTGAATTCGGCATGATAGTGGCGTTGGTGGCTTCTGTGTTATGTACATCTGTGTGGGTAATCTTAAGGCGATGGACCTCAAATGAGTTGCCATTTTGATTAAAGGGAGCAACTCGGACCACAGTACGTTGAGGTGGAGGTTTGGTTTTGCCCACAACCGAAGTGGATGGAATTGAATTCCTTGGGCCTTGTCTACCATTTGTTTGTGTTGTTGTCGTCGTCGTCGTTATTGTTGTTGTCTTATTGCTGCCTTGCTCCTTGGTGTTATCATAGAATTTTTGGTTTAATTGTTCAGCTGGCATGTCGGTGCTTATGATGGTAGTGCTAGTGCTTTTATTGCCGAAGCTCTTAAGATTTTGTTGAAAAGTTTCCATGGCCGATTCTTCATTTAATGTCTTCTCCAAATGAGCAGCCTTAGGTATTGTGGCTTCTAGCTTCCGCACGGAATTTGTTGAGTTGTTGTTGTTGTTAGCCATGGAGGATGATGACGATGTTGGTGGCGGTGGTGGTGGAGGATCCTTTGGCCTTTCCAGAGGTGTCATTGTTGTGAATAAATCTCGGCTATCTAGGCGTTGGGAACGTTTGCGTAATGCCATGGTATCTTGAAAATTCAATTCACAGCGTTTGTCCCGAACTCTAGCATGGCTGGTGTTGCTGCCATTTATTTTCGAATTTCCACCAACCCTTTTGCTTGGACTATCCTTCAGGTCATGGCTAATATCTGGCTTAATAATGGCAGTTTGTTTGTTGTCATTGCCATCGACATTGGCAGTTTTGTTTTTGTTGTTGTTGCTGCTGTGGCTCAGATATGTCATAGTGTTTGGTTGCCTTTCGCTTTGCGAACGTCTGATGGCTTTTCGTGATTGTGTCTCTTTTGTTAGTTTTATGCCAACGCCCACTCCCACACCCACCCCAACACTACCGCATTTATCAGTTGCTTCTAGTGCTACTTCTTCTTCATCAGCAATGCCTTGGGTGGCAGAAGTTCGCCTGTTATCAGTAACTTCTGGTGCTGCAAGTGTTTGCATATTCTTTTTCGTTTTCTTAGAGCTGCATTTTTGTTTGGCTCTGACATCGGCAGTACTCCTTGCAACATCTCCACAAAGAACAGTTCCAGCAGTGGCATTGTCCAGGGCATCATCATCGTAAACATCATCATTGTTGTCGTTGTTGTTGCTGTTGCTGCTGCTGTTATGCTTGGCAGTAACTAGCTTTGCCTCAGGAGTTGTTGATTTGTTAGCTGTTCCTGTAAATAGGAAAAAAGAGGAAAAAAACGATTTTTTCTTTTCAATTTCAAATGTTCAGTTTTTTCTTGACAACAAAGAAGAGTAAAAGTTTGGGGGCTGAGGGATCCTATCTTCCTTAACTGAAAACAGATTAAACAACAACAACAGCAAAGAAAAACAGGCACTACCAAAGCGGATTATTGTTGTGGTGGCAGTGTTAAGCTTTTAGAAATGCTGTTTGGTCCTTCTGCTGCCACTTGAGTGTCATTCGAAAGAATGTGCTAATGGTTGGATTTGATTTGTTTGAAGTATTGCAAAATTGTTGTTTGATATCCTTTAGCCTTTTTTACCCCAATGCTGATGATGGTGATGATGTGGAGGAGGATGTCGATGATATTCAGTTAAATTGTACAATATGTTTGAAATTGAGTATTTAACCTAATTCCTAAATGAATTAAGGATATCCTCAACATATGATGGGACAAAAATAAAAACATAGCCTCAAGTGGAAGAGGGAGATTATGTCAAGAGAGTCATTAAATGAATATTTGGTTAATGGCAAGGGAATAATGATAGATAGGAAAAAATTTAGATCAAGTAACGGTATCATCTGGAGATAATAGTGTTTAAAGGGCAAAATAACGTAAATGTTGAGTAGGATTGCAAGACTTTTGGAGACGGAACAGTCCTTAAAAAAATACTTAAAAAAAACATGCTTTGAATTTTGATTTTTTTGTTCTAATTGCACCCTCTTTGGAAAAAATATTAAAAGAATCCTTGCTATTGAATTTGATAATGCTTAAAAATCCACTCTTATGTTTTGGAAAGACCTTGAAGTAATGGCTTTTAACGTCCTTGAAAAATATATAAAAAATAACTTTGTGATTTAATAGTCCTTGCAAAAAATATTAAAAAATCCAAATCCAAATTCCGAATATAACTAATATTCAGTACAGTCCTTCTAATTATTTATCCAGATTCCCTTTGATTTTTTGATGTGATTTTTGCAAAAAAAAATCCACGCTTAAGGCTTTGAATGGCCTTGAAATGATTTATTTAAGAAAAGTACAGGCTTATGACTACTTAAAAAATCCACTTCGATGGCTTTGAACAATATTTAATAAATCCTCGCATAGCTCGATGATAGATCTGGAAGTGTATTTCTTTAAGGTCACACATATGTCTTGAAATGAATATTTAAAAAATTCCGGGTTATGGTTTATGATATGAAAAAAGTTCACCGTGGGTTGTGTTGTGATGTTCGGCTTTCAAATGTTGCCTATAGATCGATTCGAAAAACACAAAAATTAAGTTTTCGCTCTACTTCATCCCAATATTTTTATCTGAAAATTATAGGCGTTGTCCTTGAACACAACTGGAATCCCATGGAAAATTTCAAAGCAATCTGCGCTATATTTCCGCCCACTAGTATGGTACTAAATAATATCTCAGTACGTAAGCACCTGTAAATATTTAAGTGTAACTCCCACATCCGAGTACATACGACCATAAAATTTAAAGGTCAACAACTCCTCTTGGATATGCTATAAACTTTTCGGGTCGATGTCCTTCAGGCGTAAATAAATACGCCATAAACACACAATTTTTGTCATTTTTTACACAAAAGTCAGCGTCCGTTTGACCCGCTAAATATTTGCCGATCTTTGTCAAAACAGGCATGTTTATTCTTTGACCCAATCCCTTTCTCCATGAAAAATTTCAAGATGTTGTTTCGCCCGATTTTAGGTAAATGGTGTACCAAAGCCCCTGAAAATCATTCGATTTCCACGAAATTTGGCACACCGTAATGATTTAAGTCTAGAATGATGTGTGTAAAATTTCTTGAAAATCGGTTTAGATTTAGACATAGGTCCTATATATATGTTCGACCGATTTAATGTAAATGGTTCACCAAAGTTCCTATATATTTTTCGATTTCCAAGAAATTTAGCATAACGTAATGAATTAGGTCTAGAATGATGTGTGTGAAATTTCTTGAAAATTGGTTCAGATTTAGATATAGGTCCCATATATTAGTTCGACCGATTTATTGTAAATGGTGTACCAAAGTCCCTATATATCCTTCGATTTGCACGAAATTTGACATAACGTACTAAATAAACCCTAGGACGATGTGTGTTAAGTTCCGTGAAAATCGGTTCAGATTTAGATATAGCTCGCATATATATTTTCGCCCGATTTAATGTAAATGGTGTACCAAATCCCTACATTTCTTTCGATTTGGACGAAACTTGGCATATCATACTGAATTAAATCTAGAAAGATGTGGTTAAATTTCCGTGAAAATCGTTTCAGATTTACACAAAATTTTGCACAACGTATTTAAGATAGTTTAGCCAAATGTGTGCCATGTTTATTTGAAATCCGTCCAAATATCCCAGTAGCAAGATTCTTCCCTTACAAATATTTTGAGACGTTGCAAACGGTATGAGAATTTGAATATACACTCCCCCTTTGGTGTACATTTCCGTTAAAAATGTCTACAAATTTTTAGGGCTTTCATAGAGTTTGGAAAAAGTAAAAAAAAAAAAAAATAAATTTGTAAATTATGCCCTTTATTATCCTTTATTTTAAAATTTGTATTAAAAATAGGCTGCAATCAAAAAATCACCCTTTCAATAAATTGTTTTCGTTTTTTTTTTGTAATTACATTTTCGTTTTTTTCTCGCTCTCTCGCCTTCCTCTCTTGACATTTGCTGTAACCAACATCAACATTTTTAACTTTTTTTCTTGCTAATTTCCGCTCCAGTTACACAGCATCTCAAAGAAGAAATGTAAATTGCAGTGTTGTTTAATTTTTTTGTTGCAAAACGCCCATCCGCCCATTAATAGTTAACAATTTTATGGCAACTTTTTTTTTCCTCTACATTGTATCCACTCTTCTTCACGGGAGGAATTCGTCTGTTAGCTGCTTTGTCAAAAGTTGGCAGTTACAATGTTCTTAATTAAATACCATCCAAACCGCTAACGCTTCGTTCGCAATGCTATTGCAATTTCAATTGTCATTAATTGCCTTTGTGTTGAACATTTTGAAAATTAATTAATTAAAAAAAACAACAATAAATAAATCAACGAATTGAAATAATCTGTTGTCTGGTTAGCGAGAAATATTTCTGTGTGTGGCACTTCTTTCTACGATAAGAATGTGTGTTTGAATTCAATATTGAAATATAATATGTTTGAATTTTTACATACATACAAGAAAATTGTAGGGGTAAATGTGTTTTGTTGGACACACACACACACGTGTGTGTGTGACACATACATGCTCTTTACAGCCACATGTATACCGAAAATGTGAACTATTTCATAATTTATGAACTTTGACATTATTCTTGAAAATGTTTCCGGCAAATGAAAGAATTTCTTTATTTGAAATGCGTACATAAACTTTAAATGAAATCTGTATATATTTTCAAAGTGGAAAAAAACAGTAAGGAAAGTAGTAAAGTCAGACTGCACCGACTATATAATACCCTTCACCACTTTGGGTATTTTGTACATATGTATCCTAACAATTTCATTTCAATTTTCCCTCGAAGGAACATTCACATGCCTATCTGCAACCTATGCTAAATTTAATTTCATTCGGGCAGATTTAGAGTCGTTTGCGTACAATGGGACAAATATTGGACAAATATTAGGAATTTGGTGCACCATTTACCTAAAATCGCATGAAAATATATTTTTGGGAACTATATCTAAATCGGAACTGATTGTCACGAAACTTAGCACACATCGTTCTAGACTCAATTAAGTACTCTGTGCCAAATTTCGTGCAAATCGAAAGATATATAGGGACTTTCGGACGAAAATATATATGGGAGCTATATGTAAATTTGAACCGATTTTCTCAAAACTTAACACACATCATTCTAGACTAAATTCAGTACGCTGTGCCAAATTTCGAGCAAATCGAAAGATATATAGGGACTTTCCTGCACCATTTACATTAAATCGGACGAAAATATATAGGGGAGCTATATGTAAATCTGAACCGATTTTCACGAAACTTAGCATACATTGTTCTAGACTCATTTTTAGTGCGCTATGCCAAATTTCGAGCAAATCGAAAGATATATGGGGACTTTGGTGCACAATTTACATTGAATCGGACGAAAATATATATGGGAGCTATATGTAAATCTCAACCAATTTTCACGAAACTTAGCCCACATCGCTCTAGACTCAGTTCAGTATGCTGTGCCAAATTTCGTGCAAATCGAAAGATGTATAGGGACTTTGGTGCACCATTAGCATAAAATCGGACGAAAATATATATGGGAGCTATATGTAAATCTGAACCGATTTTCACGAAACTTATCACGCATCGTTCAAAGCTTAATTCAGTACACTGTGTCAAATTTCGTGCAAATCGAAAGATGTATAGGGACTTTGGTGCACTATTTACCTAAAATCGGGGCGAAAATATATATGTGAGCTATATGTAATTCTGAACCGATTTTCACAAAACTTAGCACACATCGTTCTAGACTCAATTCAGTACTCTGTGCCGAATTTCGTGCAAATCGAAAGATGTATAAAGACTTTGGTGCACAATTTACATAAAATCGGACAAAAATATATATGGGAGCTATATGTAAATCTCAACCGATTTTCACGAAGCTGTGCCAAATTTCGAGCAAATCGAAAGATATATAGGGACATGGTGAACAATTTACATAAAATCGGACAAAAATATATATGGGAGCTTTATGCAAATCTGAACCGATTTTCACGAAACTTGGCACATATCGTTCAAGGCTTAATTCAGTATGATGTACCAAATGTCGTGCAAATCGAAAGATATATAGGGACTATGGTGCACAATTTACATCGAATCGGACGAAAATATATATGGGAGCTATATCTAAATGTGAACTGAAATCTGTGCCAAATTTCATCCAATTCGGGTCATAAATGCGACCTGTGGTTTCTTTACAGTTAAACATGGACAAAATTCTCATTCTCATGAATTCTCATTGTATTGCAAATCTCC